ATATATATTATAAAACACACATAAAAATAGACACACATATATGCAGGTAGACATTCATTGAGCTTTACACTTACAAACTTTTCATCAAAAGTGTTAATGTGTGATCTATCAGTTTTTTTACAATAATATTGTAGGAGTTTTAAATGGAATGCTGAATGGAGGGAGTCTGCAGGGTTAATATTTTTTTAATGAATTACAGAGTGTGTGTGCACCACTCCCTTTAGTGATTATTCTTGGCAGAGCAAATATGGATCCCAGTCCAATATGAAAATTCTGCTGCAGAATGAAAATTAGAATTTAATATAGGCTTCAAACTCTTGATTCAGTAAGAGATTTACATAACTAAAGTGCACCTATCATCAACAGATTTTTATACACACTTTTCTGTCCTCCTTGTTACACGGTTATCAAGGTTCAGCCCCATCTTCTCATTCACACTTGCTGTCCACTTCGGTCTAATATTGAAAATTGAATATTGTACATCCCCAATAGTCTTTTAAAACAACAGATCCTCACTTGAATTAGCATCACATTTTCTGTGTTTTTGAACAGACTACAGTCCCTATAAGGGAGCTTTCATGAAACAAAAAAACATACAATTAAACCTATATACATTCAAGTTCAAGTTTAGCAAAATTTCTTTCCCTGGATAAATTGAGAGTTCATCTACATAAATAGCAGGTCCAAGTTACTCTCTCCTTTAAAGTATCAGGGTGTTTTATTGCTACCAGTTCCTATGAAGTTTTTGAAAGATGCTTCAATTTATTTACATGTTTATATGTTTCAAAGAGGTTTCCCCATTTCTTAATTGGGTGATTCTATTTTCTTAAGTCCTAGAAGTCTTAAGAAGTAAGCCACAAGTTTAAGGTATTGTAGATTCGATGTTAAATTGGTGGTTACCAATCAGAAGGGCTGCCTGAGTAAATTATGTCGTGTTTAGCTTGCTTTTTAGGTGTATGTTACTGTGGTTTCATCATTATTTATATTACTCAGAAAAACAAAGAATTCTCTCATTTGTTGCTGTATGTCTTATCACAATTCCTTTATCTTTTTGGCAATAAATAGAAAATAATAATTTTACTGCTGCAACCCAGAACTAAGAGGCAAAACTATAAGAAGACATAGCTAATACATGATTTTGTTTAAAGTTTCTATGAGTACACTGTAGTTGCCAACATGTTTTTAGCCCATGATTTGCCCAATATTTATATCTTCAAAAGAAAATTCGAATTGCTTCCCCTAATATAAGTGCCCATGATCTACTGCTTTTAACATTAACAGTCCTTGCTAGTCTACCTTTTAAGGTCCAAACCTCAAAGTCTAAAGATTTAGTCATTTGCCTAATCAGCCTCAGGAAAACCCAAGATAAAGGAGTCTTAAGCAAAAGTTGCTGCAATTTTGATCTGATACGGTCAACATTTCCTTTGTAGGGTTTTGTTAGGAATCATCAAATTCCATTCATGGCACATCCATCACTATTTGATAGTTGTGCCTCTGCTTGATGCCATAAGCCTCACCTCACCAGGCTCTATCCTGGAGAGAATGGATATTTTCTATTTTTCAGTCACTAATTTTTAAGAAGTATCAGCGTGGTGTGTGAAGATACAGCTTTAAAGAGCTAACATGAGAATTTATTTTCCTATTTCTATCAGTAACTGTCCAGGGACACTAAAAGTGTCAATAATTTGACCTGTCTGAGCTTCAATTTCCTCATCTGCAAGATGCAGACAGAGAAGAACACATTACATGCATGCACACTCAACGTCTTTGGCCTTGAGGTTTCCATGTGCTCACAATAAAGAAAGGGCTTTCTTTCTATTATCATAATAGAACTTTTGGTGAAACTGGACAATTCTTCACTAAGATTTTAAAAAACAGTGGCTATTTGGTATCCCACACCTGGGGCCAGTTCTTGAAAATTGGAGCAATTCACACAGTGTAAAACATTTCTGGAGTTTCATACAGCATACTAGGAGATGCACATCTGATATAATTCTTTAAGGGTGAAGAAAGTATTCTACTTTTTGTATTTTATCTGTAAAATTCTGGACTTGCTAACTGTGGCACTTTGTGTTTAGTTGAGTGATTACATTATGCTATATCTTAACTGCCAGAAATGATACCTTTATTTTCTCAATATGGAAATTAAATACAATAATCAAGGCAGCTTGTGGTGTCCTTCCCCTCCACTCCTCTCCCACTTTGACTGTTGGCAGAGTTTGCCGATTGTCCTCTGACCTCTCACCATTGCCTTCCCATGGGGCTCTGTTACTTACCACTTCTCCTTGTGCTCCCTGTACATTTTCTCCTGGACTTTCTCTTCTCTATATGAGTCTTTCCCCCTAGCCCACTCCAAGGCCTCTATTACATGTCCATTTGTAATCTCTTTGACTACATGCAGGTAATTTTCAAATGTACTAGTTTTAAAAATCTTCTGGGGACTCCTCATCACTTCCACGACCCAGTTTAAATCCCTTAAAGGAACTGGCCCCCCTTTCCAGAACCATTTCCTTTTCTCTCTCCTGCAGCTATCCTATCAGGCTATCTAACCTTTCTTAACTAAGTACCGTTCCCTGAGCTGGCAAGGGCAAGCTTCCTTTCACTTTCCCATGTTATTTACTTTTCGTAAAATATCCTTTTCTCCCTCCCTTTATCCAGCATTAGAAAGTTTGAGTCATTTCTTTTGAAAACCCCAGAGTCTCTTCTTCTCTTGTGGCCTTGATGACCCAATAGGCCAAACTCATCTCCCCGCTTTGCCTTCCGTGTCTTCCCTCACTGTGGTAGCTATCATGCTATTTTCATTAACTGACCTGTCTGTACTTATGTAGAAGCAAGTGAAAGTAATTTTCTTCTAGTTTATTATCCTTTCAAACCAACTTTGTTAAATACTTCTTTAATTTAGGGTTATCGTTGGGTGGATCTCACTCTTTCTTTCATCTTTTTTCATGTTTAAAAAACTCCAAGGCCATTTAATTTAAATAAATTTTTACTTTGTTATCTACAGTAAAACTTTTGCTGTTATCTACAGTAAAATTCTCTTCTCTCCTGGCGTGGGCCTGGTCAGACTGGGAGACCTGGGAGCAGCAGACCCTGTCTCTTTATAACTTCGCCTCTTCAGTCTCCTTCCCTACTCCCTTGCTGCTGTTTCAGACCAGCCATGTTAGTTAGGGTGGAGAGGTTACTTACGTTGAGCAAAGGAATTTCTTAGACACCTTGCTGGTTCTAATCAGGTATTGTCCCCCCTTAAGTGCGGCAGTGCAAAGAAATAGCCTTCTTTTCTCAGAGAAACTTTTTATAAGTAAATTAGAAACCATTTGTTGTAGTCATCATGGGCTACAGACTGGTGGCTTAAACAACAACCCCTTTGTCAAAGTTCTGGAGGCTGCAAGTCCGAGATAAAGGTCTAGTCTGGAACCTTAAGCACTTACTTTCATGGACTTATATACACCAAAGGTTTATTCTTCAAATGCCACCACACTGAGGGGTAGAACTTCAGCATATGAATGCAGGGGGAAACATTCAGTGGACCACACATCCTATCTCACCAAGCACTCACCAAGGATGCTGTACGGTTGGCCTGTCCTTTCTAGCAACTACTCATGGTAGTCCTTCAATCCCTGGCTTCTGAAGCCCATCCCACATGAACTTTGTTGAGGATACCTGGCCCCTCCAGACAGGAATAAATTTAAAGGCTTGCCTTCTTTTAGGGTTTGCTTAGCCCGTTGGGAACAATCACAATCTCCTCCCATCATTGAAGCCCAGCTCCTCCCACCGTGGTTCTCTCTACTCTTCTACTATGATGTCACCTATAAACACTTGGGTGAGAGTCAGGTGCAACTCCTGTGTTCTTTTTCTCCTGCCCCATGGTGAGTGCTCAGTGTAGGTATCCAAAACTCCTTGACCTGGAGACTGGGAAGGCACGTTTTTCTCAGGAGGTGGCTGGGGTATGTGATACTTAGGTATTCTCCTTCTGATATTTTTTAACTCCCAATCTTTAGTCATATATTTTGGGGCAAAACCTGGTGGTAAAACATGCATATCTTATTCACAAAAATGAAACCAAAAGTAAGGGGCTAGAATACAATTAGTAGAGACAAAAATAATTTAGTAAGACAGGTAAGCAATAGTGAGAGCACAGAGATCCTTGAGTGTGTGGTAAAGAGCTGGTTTTATTCTAGAGGCAACAGACATCAATTAAAGATAGAAGGAACATAAGTAACATACTGAGATTTATACTTTTTAAAAACTCTAGCTACTAGGTGGATAGTTTATTGTAGTGAGAAAAGAGAAACAAGGAGATAAGCGTTCAGTTGCTAAGTAAACCAGCATGTGTTTAGGCTTAGAATGAGAGCAATGGAGAAAGGAAGGGAACAGACATGAGACGTGGTTTGGAAGTAAGACTGAAAGGCATTCAAGAGCTAAATGCAGAGGATCAGGGAAATAAAAGATGAAGAATTACTTCTAATTTGGAGGTGAAATTAGAAAATGGAGGTGGATACAACTAGTCATAACTAATCTAGAAAATCCTGAGCTAAGAGTAGCTTTTGTTTTGCTTTTGTTTTTTTATCTGTACTGGAGGAGAGAAATGACTATGGAGTTCTACTCAGATCGTATTGAATGTGAGATATGTATTAAAAATTCAAGCAGACTTATCAATAGACAAGTGAAGAAGTATTTGCATTTGGAACTCAGTGGCCATGACCGGACATAGAGACACAGATTTAGGCTGAGAGTCCAGCTACTGAATGAAATCTCCTAGGAGAGACTGTAAGAGGAGAGAGTGGGCAAGGAACAGAATCTCAATCAATTGATACTAATATGTTGATCATGGGAGGTAGAGTGCGCAGAGAGACCAAGACTCAGGGTCCACCTTATTCAAGTTTTTCAATACTTATGAACTATAGAGGTAATGCGGCTAAATTCATTTTTTAACCATTTTCTCATTTTGACTCTAAAGAGATCCAAAGTAGCAAGACATAAGAAAAAATTGTCCGATTTGTAACTCAACACCAATTATTTGAAGGTGTTTTAGTGTAGGGGAATTTTCTAGTACTGTAGATAGTATGGCCTTGGACCATGTGTATAGCTCACCCACACCAGGCCATCATTACATGCAAGCACTAGTGGTTACAAAGTAACCTATTTAAGCACAGGTCCTTATCTTTCTAGCTGAGGGAACTTGGGCAGGTTATTTAACTTCTACAGACTTCAGTATTTTTTACCTGTTAAATGAAAGTGATCTATTGGGCAAACCCTTTACAGCTTTTGTCCATTTCTACGGGGTCTCCAAACTGCAGGAATTCTGATATGGCCTAGAGGGCGGCTGTACTGATGACCCCCTGCTCTGAGCCTACCCAGTGCATGGTGGAGGACCAACTTCTCAAGTGTTTTTAAAGATAACTCCTTTGCTGAAGTGAGAGGAAGACTCTGAGTTGTGTGTTTCTAGAAGAAATCTCTTAGAGAATTCAGTACCAATCAAACGTCACTTTAGCTGTCACTTTGACAGCCACGGGGCAGTAGACTTTCCATTTCCATTCCCCAGCTGGGGAGGGTGCAGAGGGCCAACCTAGTCACTCCCTACTCCACAGTCACCCTCCTCACAAATCAGCTACTTACTGGTCCCTCCAGAGACAGTACTTTGAAGCTCAGGTTGAGATTTTACCCCTTTCTCCAATCATTTTGGGAAAAATTATGAACTAGGACACTTCAGAATTTCCTTTTTTTATTTTTTTCTGAAAGAAAAATATCCCTCACTTGCTTGCCCCCATCCTTACTTTGTAACCAGGCTTGTACCAGGCCATCCATTTTTGTAGCACACTTTCCAAAGACAATTACAACCTGGTCCCATCTTTCTAGGGCCTAGATCTGCTTTACACAGCAGGAAGAATAAAGCCACCAACTTTTACATAGCCTGGCTAATCATGGAAGTGTGTCCAGTCTTCAGATAGCTTGAGTTTTAATTTTTTTCCCTTGGCACAGTAATGTAAAATTAAAATGAGGAAAGATAATTAATGTTTAATGCTAAGTTTGAAAAGGCAACCTGCTATCATTGCTATGTATCTTGATGCAAAGACTGATAATAATAAAGTATAGAAAAAATCTTTAAGCGTTAAATTATTTAATATATGTAAAATCCTTAGACAAGTGACTATTACGCAGTAGCATTAAAATAAATGTTAACTATGAGTGTCATATGCAGTTATTTTCTTCTGGGAGATTAAACCAGCCTTAGTATATCCAGATTAATGTAAAACTTTGTGACAGTTTTCTAGATTTAAACATAAATTGAGTGTTAAGTTCATTATCCACTGGAGGTAACAAGTTATGGTCTAGGAATGAAACACATTTGCTCTATAACTCTTGCACTTGCCAGAGCTGTGATATTAGAAAAACCATTTGAATCATAGGACCCACAGAGTCCACTTTACAGAGTAGAGCAACAGAGAGACTAAAATTTCTTAATGGTTTTCTCTAAATTTTATGAATGTTTTATGAATGTTTCCTTTTTCATTTGACATATTTTTCTTTCTTTTGAGTCTATCAACAGTTGGAATCACAGCAAATGGGGTAGGATCTTCACTTAAAATAAAATTCTGGCATAATTCTCATCATACCCCGCCTTGAAGGGACTTGAACTCAGAGTGATTTTAAATTCTTCATATTTTTGTAGATTACAGATACCGGAGTTCCAAAATAGCTGTTACTGTAAATCTGTCCAAATATCAGCTCAGAAGCTAGACGCAGGGTATTTAGAAAGTTTCTTACTTCAGCTGAGTGTATAGAAGTGAATTATTTTGTCAATCATTCCTTTGTAAAATATCTTTTAACAAAATACATTCAGATTAAAAGTAACCTACTTTCAAAACTATTTAAAACTTCACATTCAAATAGATTTTTATCTTAAGTTTGAATACAATTTTTTTTTGAGAGAGGGTCTACTATGTAGTTCAGTTTGGCCTTGAACTCATTATGTAGTCCAGACTGGCCTGGACCTCAGAGCAATCCTCCTGCCTCAGCCTCCTGAGTGCTGAGATTACAGGTGTGTGCCACCACACCTGGCTTAAATACAAATTTTGATTTGATTGAATATATACAAGTTTAATTAAATGTGTAAACAGCTTAATAAGATCAAAACAGCAAAACAAAAACTTTTGACTGTTGCCACTTCTCCCTCCCCCTTTCAAATATGTCAAAAATATATTTAAGCTTAGAAAGTAATTTTTAAAGTTTTGACAATGCTACTCGGCTATGTGACACTGTGCACACTCAGTGACACAACCTTCTGGAGACCTTACTTCTAACTAGCTACAGACAGCAAAATTGTTTTCCCTTTCTTATTAGCAAAGGGATCTTTTACCTAGAGATTTCAGAACAAAAGGTAAGAAAGACAGTTAATTATAGCTCAGGCCTCACACACAGAGTTAATGAATTTTAATGTACATTAATTAATTACTAATTGGGTTTTTGCCTGACTATAGATGGAGGTATAGAGTGACAAGAAAAGATGTCCCATTTTAAGCAATACACAATACTGTGGCTTTGTATCCTTGGTTTTCTCTGTCTCTAAGTCAAAATCTGAAGTAGAGTATTTGTATTTTCTAAAGAGCTTTCTGAAATTCAACACTATTGTGTAAGAAAGCCTTTTTAGGAGTGTAAGAATTGTCTTTTCACATGTGGTAAATACAAACTGTAGTTTTATATAGAGAGCTATGTTGTTTCAAGTCATTATTACATGACATATAGGCAAAGCCGATAGGCTTTAAATTTCTAATGTAAGGTAGTACAGAAAAGAAAGGGAGTGGAGGAAGGATGGAAGGAGGAAGAAGAGGGAGAAAGGGAAAGAAACAGAAAGAAGGGGAGAAAGAGAAAGAAGGAAGAGGGAGGGAGACAGAAATGGAGAGGGAGAAGGAAGGAAGGAAGGAAGGAAAGAGAGAGAGAGAAAGAAAGAAAGAAGAAAGAAAGAAAGAAAGAAAGAAAGAAAGAAAGAAAGAAAGAAAGAAAGAAAGAAAGAAAGAAAGAAAACAGTGATAGAAAAAGGTCTTGACTTCCTTTCTTGATTAGTGAAGGTGAAATAGGCTCAAGACTCTGAATCTTATGAATCAAAATCCAGTTCCTTCTCAACAGAATATAAATCTTCAATGTACCATAAAAGAAGACACACTGCCAATTTATAGTAATCCATTACGTATGATATTGACATAAGGATAGGCAAATAAATCAGTGTAAATAATATACAATCCAGCAACAGACACACCTATGTGCTTGACTGATTTTCAGTGAAAGTTTCTACATAATTCAGTGAGAAAAGAAAGAGACTTCTCAATGACGCTAGAAACAACTACACAGATGATTGGAGAAATAAATCCTAGATCTTGAGCCTTATATTTTGTTATACACAAAAATTAATTTGAAACCACTTAAATATAAATCTAAAATCATAAAGTGCTTGCAAGAAAAAAATAAGAATATTTTGATCTTTTAAAGCAGCATAAAGAAATGATAAATTGGGCTTTATATAAGCAAAACTTTTCCTTATAAAAAGTCACGTTTGAAAAAGTAAAAGGTGAGCCTCAGCCAGAAAGAAAATATTTGCAGTACATCCAGGAGTAGTGGTACACACTTGTAATCTCAGCACTCAGAAAGGCTGAGGCAGGAGGATCATAAGTCTGAGCCTAATTTGGGCAACCCAGTGATTTAGCGAGAACCTTCCCCCCAAATCTATATAATATATAATATAATAATACATTACATAATTATAATTGTTATAATAAAAACT